AACACAACAAGTTATTTGATTTTAACGGTACCTGGGTATTGTAAAATAGATTTTCTCTTTTTAATTAACGTACCAGAGCAGAGCTAAGTCTAATCTTAAGTTTAATCTCATACCGAAACGTCACGCATACATAAATGTCACTTATGTCAACTGTCAGTTAAAGTGGCGGGAAAATAATAAAATCAAATACTTGGAGTAACAATTAAATAGTAATAAATAGGTTTATTTATAAATAAAAATAAAAAATGGCAATAAATAATTCTAGAAATTTGCACCCATTTTTTGGTAGGGGCCACTGCAAACGTGGAGGTGCCTGCATTCTCGTAAAAAATGGGACTCAGTGGAAGGAGTTACCAGAAATAAAAAGTCTGTCAATTTCAGGTCTGTACGAGTGTTGCTCAATAGAACTTATAAGTTATGATATAGTTATTGTATGTGTTTACAGGGTGCCCAAACCAGAGAATTTAAATACATTTTTCAGTAAAATAGACACTACATTACAACGATTAAATAAAAAATCTTGTAAACATTGTATAATCGCGGGTGATTTTAACATTGACTTATTAAAACAAAACAGTGTAACATGTGACTTTGAGAACTTATTATTGACGTACAATATGACTTTAGCTGTAAGAGAACCGACAAGATTGATAAGTAAAACTTGTATCGATAATTTTGCTCACAATTTCAAAAAACAATGTAAGACGGAAGTGCTAGAATTGGCTTTGTCAGATCATACGGCGCAGCTGATGATGATCCCTGTTAGGCGGGTACCTGTTATTAAGATATGGAGAAAACGAACTCGTGATTTTTGTGATGAAAATATATCAAAATTTATGAAATGTCTTAATAATTACTCATTCTCTGAGATATATGCAGAAACTGACCCCAACAGGGCATACAATTTCTTTAGCGAACATTTCGAACTTTTTTACAACCTTTGTTTTCCATTCAAAACTATCACTGTACATGTAGATAAAAAACAAAGATGGATATCTCGTGGAATAAAGAAATGCAGTATAAGAAAGCGACATCTATTATGGAATTATAGATTAAAACCATCAATTAAAACAAAAAACATGTTTATTACATACTCTAAATTACTTAAAAAAATTATTAGACTTACAAAACGTTCACAAAACAATTATAAAATTAAATCCTCTGACAATAAATGTAAAGCTACGTGGCAGATAATAAATGATTCAAGATTAAATATCCCAATTGACATTATAAGTAAAATTAAAGTGAGCAATAATACAATTTCTGATCCCAACGTTATGGCCAATGCCTTTAATAATTACTTTGTTGATAAAATAGTACCCATATCCGGTCGTGGCAAAAAAGTGACATCGCGGATTGCAAGCACGATTAATTCTATTTTTATGGCTCCATGTGTACCAAAAGACATACACAAAATTATTTCCGAGCTGAAGAATACTAACAGTGTAGGTTTTGATGACATTTCAACTAAAATTATTAAAATCTGTAACCGACATATGTGGACATTTAAGTCATCTTTTAAACTTATGCATTAGTAACGGTGTTTTTCCTGATAATTTAAAAGTAACTATTGTAAAACCACTGTATAAAAAGGGTGATAAAGAACTATTACAAGCCTATAGACCTATTGCACTATTATCAATATTTTCTAAAATTTTTGAAAAGTATATTTATAACCAATTATACACTTATTTAGAATCTAATAAACTACTATGTCATGAGCAAAAAGGTTTCAGAAAAAACAAAAGTATCAATTTGGCTATATATGATTTTTACAAAACAGTGCTGACAAACGTTGATAAAAGGACTCCCATATGTGCCATATACTGCGATATGACTCAGGCTTTTGATTACGTGGACCATCAAATACTATTAAACAAATTAGAATCTTATGGTATACGAGGCAGTATTCTGGATCTACTAAAATCATATCTTTCTAATAGATCTCAGATGACAACTATATCTAAGATTAATATTATGACTAAGAATCAAGAATCTTATTTGTCTGAGTCGCGTAGCATTACTTTTGGTGTGCCACAGGGCAGCGTACTGGGTCCGCTTTTATTTATCATTTATATAAATGATCTGCCTAAATTTACCACCCACCCAATGTCGCTTTTTGCAGATGATAGTACTGTATCTGTACAGTGTAAGACAAAAGAATTATATCAAGACGACATAAACAATTGCTTGGAATCAATTATTAACTGGCTAGATAATAACAATCTTAAAGTAAACTTATTAAAAACTCAAGTTATGCACTTTAGCCAGAGACCTCAGCCTCATGATATTCATATAGATTACGATAGTAACCCTATACACGAGGTAGAATCAGCGCAATTCCTAGGCCTAACTATCGATAGGCAGTTGAATTGGAAGGCGCATATAGCAAAATTATGCAAAAAGGTGAGCAGTTCTGCATATGCTATGTACAGATTGGCCCCAGTAGTGAACATCGATGCTTCACTCACGGCCTACTACGGCCTTGTTGACTCTGTCTTACGGTATGGAATAATCTTCTGGGGAAACTCAACAGATAATGCGCTGGTTTTTAAGGCCCAAAAACGTTGCATACGAGCCATGTTTCACCTGGACTCGACTGACTCTTGTAAACCGTCCTTTATAGCACATAAAATTTTAACACTTCCGTCATTATACATATTAGAGACAGCACTGTTTGTTCATAAAAACCCTCATCTATTTGAACAAATTTCTGATGTGGTAAAAAGAAACAGGCGCAAAATTAATAGTAATAGACTGTGTCTGCATAGTGCAAAAACTACTCTGGCACGAAAAAGCGTATTATGTATGGCGCCAAAAATATATAATAAAATTCCTAATGATATTAGAAATTGTAATGTAAGATTATTTAAAAATAAATTGAAAATAATTCTGGCCAAGAAATGTTATTATACTATTCATGAATTTTTAAATGAAAATAATTTTAATATGTAATTGTATCTCATATTATTCTTTAAATTAAATTAAATGTATACCTAATTGACTTGACGTTCACTTTGATTAACTGACATTTTCATGAAATTTTTATTTATCTAATACTAATTTGATTATATTGTAAAATGACTCATTCGTATTAATGTATTTCATTTAATAATACTTTTGCGCGCTGTGTTCCACGGCAAAACATGCTGTACATAAACATTTTATTCAACATCTTGTTACCTACCATGTTTTGTGCAAATAAATGATTTGATTTGATTTGATTTGATTTGATTTGATTTGATTTGATTTGATTTGATTTGATTTGATAAACTTTTATGGTATCTAATCAAGGATGTTGAATAATTCAAAGTCTCTTGAAACAACGACTGTGGCACCTGGCTACTATAGACATACACGCAGAATACACACACATTGACACGAAGGACAACTGTCGCGTGACATGATCCGTCATTACAATTCATACATTACGGTGTTGCAAGTACACGCACACATAAATACACCACTGAGATTTTGGTACTTCAATAATTTCTAAGTGACATTAAGTTCTTGTGTCTAATTGTATATATTCAAAATCCGTGGCCGTGTGATGGACTACTTTTTAAAAAGTAAGTATTCTAGGTTATAAGTTTATTAGTATCAGCAGTTACTTCGGGTTTGTCGTCTGATATGGTAAAGTATAATTTTAATTATATTTTATAACGAGTTACATCGAGTGGTTCGTACTTCTAAAGAGAAGGTAAGTGAAGGAATCGTTCCTTGCTTTAGGGTTAGTTTTTTTTCCTACTGTTACTCTTGTGTTTTGTTATTATGTATGTCGTGTTTTATTTGTTGAGTGATCGTAACTATGACTGTCGAACAATTAAACGATTTTCACAATAAATTCTTGTGGGGTACAAACTATTATTATTAGGTTTATAATTCCGAAACTATTATCAATAATTTAAGATTTTTTTATAATAACTATCGTGAGATATACTATATTAACTTAAAATCGCGGGTTACTCACGTGAATATACTGAGAAAAGGTCTACTAGTTTCGAACCACAGAGGGGTTCATCCTCATGAGCAGCGTGCGCGGTCGTAGCGATGTCGCGCACCCTACTGGCTGTCTGTGGTTCGAAACTAGTAGAGCTCTTCTCTGTATATTCACGTGAGTAACTTGCGAGTTTTAGTTAATTGAATAATTATTTAATTGTATTTAATAAATGAGTAATTTAGTTAAAAGTTAAGTGTAAAATCTAATTCTTTACTAAGTACCTACTTACTTTCTTCGGAGAAAAAATCTATAAATTGTAGAAAATGTTTTAGTTAAATATTATTTAGTAAATGTTATAAGTATACGATCCAAGTTAATAGTATCTACCTACGCAGAATAAAAACATAATACCTATGTAAGTATTCAGGTCTGTTTTTTGAACATTATTCTAGAATCTAGATAATAATTTTATGCCTACATTTTGTACTCCACGTGTAACTCTGGTTAATTTTATTTTCAGTTTATAAAAACGATAGGTATATAGCTACTATGTACCTCGTGTGAGCTATTATAATTTTGTTAGGTTTCTGTTATCACAACTGAAAAGTCTTGGAATTGATACACCGTTATTGTTGTATAATATTAGATGAGTACCGACAAGTCTTTGTAATTTTCCATTTCACGTACTGTACTGTAATTTTCGAGTATTTCTTTCTTAATATGATTGTGGCGGCTGTGTAGGTAATGATAATTCTTAATGATTTTTATTAATTTCCGCAAAGGTAGACAGGTGACCTAAAATTAGAACTAGTGTGTACAGTTGGTGAACCAATAATAAAATAAATGAATAATAATAAACTGTAGGCTTCATGTTACTACTTAATTTAGCATTAACCATAAAGGTCAATAACGCTTTGCTCCACTCGGAAATTGAGCCCCCGCCTCCTTAATCGACAGTCACATTTCTTACAACTCGCCAAACGACAAAACACTATGTAAAAATGTCGAAAGAAACCTGACTTCCAAGTTCCACCTTCTCATGTCTCCGTATCTTCAACAGATGTGCCGATAACGTGGTTGTCGTCACCGCGCGCGTCCGTGCCGTGCGTGGTGCCGGACGCGGGCCGGATCCCGGCGCGACGGCCCCCACCCCCCCTCGAGGCTGAAGACAAGCCCCGACCGAAGCCCTACGTCTGGAAGAAGGGCGATGAAGATGTTAAACGGTAAGAAACTATTAATATATTTATGACGAACCTTTTCAGGGAATATTTGAACAGAGTCTAGCAGTAGCGTTCTTTGTTATTTTGGATCCTATTGACGTTTGACGGTCTCCAACTTGCCTGTCAAACGAGAAGATTGTTGGAAACCTTTTGTAGAGGAACCACACAGTCCAGAAGTGCATTTGTCTGGTCGTGATGAAATAGAAATATTGAAATCATGATAGACCTCTGATAATCAATGAGTGACGAATGGTGAAAAACATCAACCAGTGTTGATCATGATCAGTAGTAAATATGGCTGGGTTATACCCGAAGGGGTAGGCACCGGTGCACATTCAATGCCTCTGGACAATGTAACACCCACTTTTCACTATTTATGTTATGAATCCCGCGTAATAGGGGGTGAGCCCATTGCCATATACCGGACACAGTTCCATACAACGTGCTATTACTGAGAATTAAAAAAAACCCAGTAATACTATGCCCGACCCGGAAATCGAAGCAGTCATACTTTCCGCTACTCGTTGGCAGTCACACTAAGCTACTTTAAGTTATGAAATGGTTGAGTAGTGGCTATAACCATTAAATCTTTTTGAACCTTATTTAACCTTGTATGCCAGTATAGACACAATAGAACATACATTGGTCTACATCTACGTTCCATAGCATGTAAATCACTATCCTTTCACCATTTGTGGTCTAAACCTGCTCTAAAAAAGAATTGCCGCTTAAACTGTCAAACACCAAGCGGTCACCGGTGACCGCGACCTATTGTTCTTTAATTGTGTCTATAAAACCGGTACTCGACGAGTTAAACTGCCAAACACCGCGAGGACACCGGTGACCGCAACCTATTGTTCTTTAATTGTGTCTATAATGACTGTACTCAAAGGGTTAAAAACACTTTTTGTTCCAGGGTACTAAGTAATGGTACTCTTGAAGTGTCGAAGAAGAAGGATGGGAGCTCCGAGGGAGTTTACCAGTGCACCGTCAGGCACCATGCTGGCCTGGTGCTCGGGTATCCCGTCCACGTCAAATTTGCATGTGAGTAACACTTTTAAATGTATTGTTATTTGATTTGTGTAATAGGGTAACAAAACTGTATTTTCTACGTGTTCCAAATTTTGCGTGTTGTGTTTTTTTGTATAAAAACTGACGGTTTCAGAGAAATGATACCCACTATGAGCAAAAGTATTAGGTAATTCGAAGTGTGGATTAGTTGGTGAAAATTGCAAGTAGGTAAGGTTTATGGAAATAATAGTTTTGTTTTATTTTAACGTATCCTCAAGTCTATATGTGGATTTCATAGTCAACAGTGTGATTATAATCAATTAATAAAAACATGGCAAAATGAATTCAATTAGGTTTCCAATTTCACGAGTGTCAAAAAACATGTTTTCTGGCGTCTAGTATTTATTTCTAGTATACGTAAGTCCTATTCTAACAGTCTAGTCTATTACACTCTTTAGTACCTTATGTACTTAGTAAATAAACGTAAAATTGCTGAAAAAACAAGGCACCGAGGTTTCAGTACCTTTCAGAAGGCTCTCGTGCTTATTATGTACAAATATTTACTTAGCACACACGGACGGTCAATTGTTTTATTTACTCTGTTATTTATACCTATAAAGGCTTTATATACATACTAGATTTTACCTGCGACTTTGCCCGCCAGAAAGGTAGGATTGGTCCTTCTTTGTAGCATCATTATCATCATCATCATCATCGTCAGTGTGACTATCCCACTGACAATAAAAAGGCTTCTTCTCATACAGAGACTATGAGCATTCGCCAAAAAGCCCTTTTTAAGGGGTTAAAATCATCCAATTACTTCTACCGCCAGAGAGGGAGTGTCAGACTCTTACTGACTAAAAACCACCCCGTTCCTTCTCCTGCACGTCGAGCCGGAGCCCCGGTTACCCGTTAGGTTCTCCGCGACCCCGTTAGGTTCTCTGCCTAATATGTAACTGTTTTACCAATTTAGATACAGATTCAGTTTAAAATTATAATTTACAAAGTTTGAGACCGCCTATATAAGTATTGTATTTTTTTTTATAAGGAACGGTACCTACTATTTACCGATTCCGACTCAATCTAGCCAAGTTTTTATTTTATCTGATTGATAAATAACTCATTGTTACTCCAAAAATTAAATTAGAATATTTATTTTTAGCACATTATTAAGTTCTCTTCTGTTTCTTATTGTGATTCTATTGTCAGGATATTATCATTACGTTTTTAATTTCGCAATTATTGGTTTTTCTTTTAAGTCTGTTGTCTGTAATAAATATGGTTATACATTATTATAATTATGGTTATATTTTTATTTATTAAGTTTGCGTTACTAATAGTGCTTAAAATAACACAATGTACTAAATTAAAATTACTTTCATTCTTGGTTTAGGAAGTGGGTAATGTATTGTTGTCTGACTGCCTCGTTGGCCGAGTGTTCGCAAATGCGACTGCCGGGCAAGGGTCTAAGGTTCGATTCTCGGGACGGGCAAAGTATTACTGGGTTTTAAAAAATATCTAATTTGTAGCACGGATTCTGGAATTGTGCCCGGTATGGCAACAGGCTCACCCTTTATTACATGGGACTCATAACATAAATAGTGAAAAAGTATTTGTGTGTACAATGGCATTAAGTGCTGTAATGTGCGGTTCTGCATACCCCTTCGGGGATAAAAAGGTATAAGCGGTTAGTGCCATACATTTGCATCACCAGAGGCATCATGAATTTAGATATAGCTGACGTCATCACGTTATACAGTTCATCTTAATTAATAATATAATAAAGTGTAGGAGAATGACTTCAGCGCGAAAGGGCCGGCTCGACCGGAGTGATAACACGGCCCCACAGAAAATCGACATGAAACAACGCTTGCGCTGTATTTCATGGTGTGAGTGAGGTTACTGGAGGCCCAATTATCCCCCTTCCCCAATCTCTCCAATCCCTGAATCCCCAACAATCCTCAAATTCCTAATCCGGTAACGCATTTGTAACGTCTGGTGTTTCGGGTGTTCATTGATGACGCCGATTGCTTACCATCAGGTGATCCGTCTGCTCGTTTACCGACTTAACCCATTAAAAATATAGTATGCTAATGATTGAGTTCCTTTCTCTTTCTTATTCTTATACTTTAGAACGAGCACCTAGCTTTAACTCGTCGAGTACCGTATTTATAGACACAATTAAAGAACAATAGGTTGCGGTCACGGGTGACCGCTTGGTGTTTGACAGTTTAATTGAGACTTTAAAAAGTCGATGGTTAATTAATCTGTTTAAACGACTGAAATCCTGACTATAAGTTCTGTAACTGAACTATAATAATTTAGTTTTAATATTTACAAATCTCAGTTTCCAAGTCACACTGCTAGCCTTTATTAAGTTATCCACAGCCGAACGGTTTTCGACTTCATGAATAATCTGTCAGGGTTCATTATTGTTTGTAGCCTGTATTTTGACTAGTCGACACTAACTTAGTTATTTATTTAGAGCCAGCAGAGATGCTGGTTGTTTATTTGAAGTGACAGTTCTAGGATTGTTACTTTGGATAGTTTCGAGATATATTTGTTTCTTGGTAATCATGTTTTAGTGGTTTCCTGAGGATGTAATTTGTTGGAAAATAGCACGGATTCTGAAATTGGCTTGGTGAGTTTATCGTAGTGGACTCTTCCCTTATTACAAACTAGTTTCTTAGCCCGCGACTTCGTTGGTGCAATCCCGTCTTTTCCCGTTCCCGTTCGTCCTATGTCTGTCTCCTGGTTCTGAGCTACCTCACACCAATTTTCATCCAAATCGATTTAGCCGTTCTTGAGTTTGAATCGTGTAACTAACACGACTTTCTTTTATATATGTATATGGATGGGATTTATATTAAATATAATTGGTAAACAGAAGGTGTCACTTGTACCCTCTGATCCTTCGAAGAAAATACATCGGCTATACTATACATATAGGTACTTGACGGTTTCAGAGAATCGAATCTGCTAAATATATTTCCATAATGTACTTGTAGTGCTTGTGAATAGACTTGTCATGAACATACATACAGACAAACAGACAAAAAATCTATAAACAATATTTTTAGCTTCGATATCGATTGTAGATCACGTCTCAAGTTATCTTTTAAAAATATTCAGGGTACATAGAAGATGTATCTATTCATGTATCTAAGTATAGTTTAATAAATGAAACATAACACAAATAATAGCCGGTGGCAATACCATTAAAAAATATCTGTTATAGAAATAAAATAAAATTAACATATCGATGTCCTATGCACGATTGCATATAATATAATATCTTCATTAAACATTTACACAGAAAACGTTGGGTGTAAATAAAACTGTTATATAATGTATATATATAATGAATTCACGAAAGTTAGTAAACAATCGTTATTTATATAGACAAAGTAAATAGGTATGTTTACTTATGTTTTTAAATAATTAGAAATGGTCGTTTGAAGGTTATTTTGAGGCTGTTATCTCGAGATTAATCTTTAGGTAGATACCTCTGCTGACACGCTTATGAAGAGTGTTTTTGTATCATATCGTCTTATCTTTTCAACTTTCTTTCTTTACGAGGCAGCCTTTTCTTCTTACACAAATTATTATGATACTAGCTTCTGTCCGTGACTTCGTACGCGCAATCCCGTTTTCTCCAGTTCCTGTATGATTTGCAGGATATTTTCTGTCTTAAAAACCTTCTCCTAATAATAACAAATACAACGAAGAAAAAAAAGAATTAGTGAAATTGGTCCATTTTGGTCCATGTCGTGGTGGCCCGGAGGTTTAAGACGCCCGCTTCTCATGCATAAGGGTGTGGGTTCGAAATCTACCAACGGCAAGTACCAATGTGACTTTTTCCGAGTTATATGTACATACTTTCTAAGATCATTCAGACACCACTGACTAACGGTGAAGGAAAAACATCGTTAGGAAATCTGGGCTTATAATTCTAATTGTAAGTTTGTAATCGCCAACCCGCATTGAGCAAGCGTAGTGATAATGCTCAAACCTTCTCAGTGTGAGAAGAGGCTTTGCTCAGTAGTGGGCATTTATAGGCTGTTGATGATGATGATGAAATCGGTCCAGCCATTCACACGTGATAAAGGGTGACCAAGGGACAACGGTTGGGAAAAGATGTTGAACAAATTATTTTATGTTTCACGAATTTTTATGGTAAATCAACTTTTCACCATTTGTGTTAGATATGGGTATCTTGCGAATCCAGGCGTGTAGTGGTTGCAAAATAGTATTCATTGTCGTCTTTTTTCTTTCCGCAAATGTCTTAAAACTGATTAAGAGAGTTCATTATGACAGAGATCAGGCAGCAGTATTCTTGAAACAACCGGACCCTTTAACATGCCATCTCCGACGCTCCTGGAATGATGGAGATTATAACAAACCCATAGAGGTTCATAGTCCAGTAGTGCTGGACTGGACCGTGCTGTCGATGTTTAGCCTTAAGAGTCATGACCTAAAACGACAATATCAGTACAATTAAACTACCCACTGCTTCAAACAACAATAAGTTGATATATAACAATAAACAAGATAAATCCTAAAGGTACTAGCAGAGCTGTCGTCCAGTCTATTCCTGTCAGGACACGCCCTTTATTGTTCCAACTTATAACCTAGTTTCAGTCTAGATTTATTGCAGACTTGCTTAACATCTGTCTTTGTTATGAACGACCATGTTATAAACTATTTCCGTATGCTATGAATAATGTGTAGCATAGTTTGTGTGTAGGTACTTTCTTGTGGCCAGATACTGGAATCACCGTACCAATCACCTCTAAACTAATCCCTTGTTAGGTGTCAATTACCGGTCGGCGAAAATAAAAATGACGTTAAGGGTCATCCATCTTAGCTTAGGAGTTTCTTAAAATTTAGGAGATGGTGATGACAACGGGCATTAATAATAATAATAATAAGCCCGCAGGGCACCTTGAGGCGAGGTGACGGGCATTAGCGATCCCGCGGGCTACCATCATCCCGAGTGCTCCAGGGAGAAGTCACCGTTCCTTCTTCTCCGG